ATCAGCATCTCTGATAATACTGTTCATACTTCAAATTTACGGAAGCTATCAAAACGAACTGTTCATCAACAATGGTTATCGGAAGTGTTTGATTAACAAGATCTTGTTCATCTCTCCTTCCAGTATTTTACCAAACTCTAATAATCCAAGTAATGTTCTCACAACTCCTAATAATAGGTCTGATATAATTCTCAACAAGAATACTAATTCTAATAACAATATAACCGCCATCCCAAATTCCAGATCTGGTTTTGCTGTCCTAAACTATATCAAAGAACTGTCCCCTAAGCTGATCAGACTATATAGCCCGTTGAACTGTCGAATTGCTTGCAAATCCATTCTTACCATAAACAGTATTATTTCAAAGATGAAAGACACAGTCCCGCTGCTTGGCTTAACCAACACCGTTTACTGTATCAATTGAAATAGTTGCAACCAAATATACATAGGTCAGACCTCTAGATCTCTAAAAGGAAGGATTTCATCACACAAAAGTGATTCTAGGCTTCATTCCGAGAGATGTGTTCTGGCACCTCATGTCAATACAACAGGGTACTCTATGAACTACACAAGTATCAAGATTCCTGATAAAGAAAAACACCTATCTAAACGTTTATTCCTGGAAATATCCCAGACTTTCATTAATAACAACTGTATGAATAAGAAGACGGATGTTAAGCAACTGTGCGTCATTTACCCATATCTGCTAAGCTGCGAAAAGTTGGAGCACTTAAACATCTCGACAATTTATTCTAACCCTTTTCCTCCAAAATTCCATTCCATTCAAATTTGAATAATTGTTTTTTCGCATAACAAAATAATAATTGTTTAATTCAATTGTCCATCTCTTTAACAATATAGTTTTTTGAACTGCCTCTGGTCTGTTGACAAGTTTTTATTTAACATATCTTGATAAATCACACCATCTGAAGTGATTTGGCAACATTATTACAAAAATGTTCGTTCCATCCATCGACACTGACACCACCAGCCTTCTGCGATCTGTCAAATGCTTCATCCTACTTATGGTCCTCTATGAAGTACACAAGTATCAAAGTTCTTGATAAAGAAAAACACCTATCCAAACGTTTATTCCTGGAAATGTCCCACATTTTCAGATGTTAAGCAACTGAGCGTCATTTACTCAGATTTGCTAAACTGCGGAAAGTGGGAGCACGTACATATCTCTCCAAATTTCGACTTTTCACGATCGTAAATGGAATCTGTTTTCTGGTCTATTCCACCCTTTCCCTCCAAGATTTCCATCCCATTCAAATTTAAATAATTAGTTTTTCTCATAATGAAATAACAATTGTTTAATTCAATTGTCCATCTCATCAACAATATAGTTTTTTCAACTGCCTCTGGTCTGTTGACTAGTTCTTATTTAACATATCTTGATAAATACCTGTAACACCATCTGAAGTGATTTAGCAACATAGCACACACTTTACAAAAAATTTCGTTCCATCCATCGACACTGACACCACCAACCTTCTGTCAACTGTGAAATGTTTCATCCTACTTGTGATCCTGTACCCACCATTTTGTGCAGCATCAGGTGGTTCACGATGTAATTTTAACTTTCCTTTTAAATAATTTTGATCCGTTTTAATTTGTTCCTGACATACAGCTGTGTGTAGCTTATATTAATTTTGACGAATGTGCCAGCATTCACTAGATTACTGGGTGTTTCCCTCAATCTAAACGTTAATAACATTTAACAACAATCTCACATACGACTGTATGTTAATTTAAAATCATTTTGCGCAATAGTTGCTATTTCTTCTCAATGTTGTTGCAGCTGCTGATGAAGATGGCAAAGGCCATTGACAGCTAGAGATTAATAAAGTATAAAGAGTCCTTTTTGCTTGAATTTTGTCGAAGTACCCAACAAAAGGCGGAATATTTATTTTTCACCTATATATATATAAGATAAAGAATGCTCACGTCGTATGGTAAAAAAATAACAGACTTTATTGCAGGAACGAAGAGTGGTTACAAGTATTGAACAAAATCTGTCTGTGCCTCGATATAATTCTAATCTTTATAGGAAAAATAACAGAGCTGTGTCGAAAGAAAAAGAAGTAAAAAGCAAATGTTTCTTAATGGGCTTGCTTGCCATACAATTCAATTTGTTGGAATAATGGGCTTGTACCACATAGTTATGTTACCAACAGGATTCCATAACTCCTCCCTCCTACGAAAAGTTGCTCACCAACTTAGAGAAAATTTAATTTACAGTTACAATATGGTTCAAAAGCTGTAAGAGTCGTAAGAAAGGTTTTGCAACTTAGTATGAACTATTATTTCCAAATGATTTTGGTAATAAGAAGGATTTAAGAAGCTAAAATTACTTTCAAGTAAAGGCAATGATAATTCAATCTGCTTGCAGTCTTTAATATCCATTGAAATATTAGCATTAATAGTATTTTAAGTGAATATGAGGACAATTTTCCAACATAGATGGCTTACATGTGCCTGTTTAGTAATTAAAAACATAAATGCGGATTGTTACTTAGTTTGATTAAATTGGAGCAAAATCTTTATACTTCTTAATACACTGGGTAAAGGTAAAGGACTTTCTAGAAAGCTTATCGTTTGAGACATGAGGAATGTTAAAACTTTTCTGCAAAATTGTAAGGTGTTGCTCAATCTAGTATTTGCAGAAAGCTAATTAATCTATAGCTTCTCGCAATCGGCCGCCCGGTATGGAAACGGTATAGTCAGAATTAGTTGCTACTGGAAATACCGGGTGAGCGACAATTTTTATACATTTTACCTCCGACGGTCGTTATAGTCCTACATTAAATGATTTGGTAAGCCATACCTTGAGCAATATAACGTAATAAATACTGAGGGCATATTTTTAATACAAGTATAAATTTCGCGTATTTACGTTACAGCCACTCAAAGCTTTTCTTTCAGCTGGGTCTCCGGATTTTCTACCGAGACGTTTTATTTTGCGGGAAAGGCACATTTTAATAAAAGTGGCGCCTTCCGTTGAGTAATTTCCATCACAAAGGACTCGATTTAATAACAAATTATAGAGCTGTAGCCTCACTCCTCAGGATTCTCTTAACGAATTGAAGAGGGGCGGCCAACTTCAAACATCTTAGACCATAGTTGGGACGTAACGCTTATGTTGTACATCTTGTTAAGTAATGTTATTATGAAACCCGCCAGAGACTAACATTGCTTTTTAAGCTGACCCAGTTAGGTAACCAACTGATAATCTGAATATGGTCTCACTAGGTCCTAATTTACATATAACAACAAAAATATCACATGGTTTTGCAAAGAGTAAATGAAGCTGACCAGTTTGGTTCTATAAAACCTACATGGGTTTTATGAGAAACAGTTTTCTATATTCACCGTACAGAAGTACTACTACGTGCTACCATATTTTTGCTTTGTTAAGTGTTTTTGTCACATTGTCATATTTCATATCCAGAAGCTGTAACACGTGGAAAGTGGGTACTCCAATTATCGTTTGAGATATTTGGGTGGCCCAAGGCTCATCCATTTGAGAAGTCCTGCCATTTCAACAAGGAAGAAGATTTTAATCATCCCGAAGAAGTTATCCGAAAAAGGTGACGAGTTTTGTAGTACCTAGCGAGTAAAAAGCTCGAAAGTACAACGCTAGAGGAACCAATGAAGGCTCGATCTCCGATAATTCAGCCGGCCCCTGCCTAGTACAAGAACAAGACGACATCCTATGCAAGTAGTAGATTTCCTGTTGGTTTCTATTGGTTTCCACTGAATTGGCCATCACCGGTATCCCAGAAGTTATTGTTAATGGCGTACAACAACAAACTTCTGGTTATATTACCTTTTATAATGACATTTTGAGAAAATTACATGTTCTACGAGAATATGCCAAATTAGAATACCCAGATGTCATCATTCAAAACTCTAAACTAGGTTTTTATAAAAAAATGGCTTTGCATTCATTTGTTTCTGGCATACGCGAACCTTATCGTTCTATTCTGTTACGCCCCAACCCTGAAACATTGGAAGTCGCTATCTTTGCTTGTCACAACTATGAAATTTGTAGTTGCAATCTAGCTTCAAAGACTTTGCTAACAAAAACATCAAATTTCCTCAAACAAGACCAAATTTGCAAGACCCTAGACTAAATTGCAGCCACGCCCTTCTACACTTCAAAATCAACACTCATGGAGACGTACTCTAATTAATCAACCACGATTCCCAACTACTCCCGTGATCATGTCCAGGCCTATAATGAGCAACGCCCCTCGCTTACCCATATTATACCAACTTTTAGATCGAGAACCCAAGCTGATCAAAATTTTGATGCTCCCAATCGAAATACCCAAAGTATCAGACCTACGCTTATGTCTACTTCCACTATTAGGCCGAATAATAGTAATCGTCCCGTGAATAGACCCAGCTTCTTTAACAATAATGGTCAAACACGTAATTTTGTTTCCGAAGAACTTACTAACAATGAATCAGCTATAGATACATACTACTACTACCATCAAGAACCTTCTGATCCTGAAGATTATGACTCCCAATATTTTCAAAAGGAATATCATGTTCAATATCAAAATTATATCGATTTGAATATTTTGAAAGCCCACAAGAAACGTTCGAAAATTTTTATCAATCCCAGAGTGACTCCGGATTAACAAAGTTGATAATTACCAAGATACGCACCTTTCGTATTTGTACTTTTTTATAGATACAGGAGCTCCTTTCTTAGTTATGAACGAAGATCGTGAATTTCCAATTTTCCCCAACTATATCCTTCCTAAATCTTTTGAAACTCAAACAAATAAAAAAAGTACAATATGCTAGTAAAATCCTTTTGCTTTACGAATGTGGAATACAATATGAAGTAGAGTTTCTATTAATTAATTGGCACAACAAGTACGACTGTCTCTTGGGCTATGAAGACCTAAAACATCTAAAATCTGAGGGAATTATAGGCACACCATTCTTAAAATTGCCAATTTAAATTTTATTTGTCATAGCGGTTAAAATCCAGAACGACGACCTAACGAAGTCCACGAACCTTCATGCAAACAAAGTCGGAAATGGTCACGTTATTATACCGCCATTAAGATATAAGGATTCAGATGATTTGACGCCCAAAATGATTTGGTCAGTAAACAACTACGAGATAGATTTTCCTGAAGATACCATGGCACTTGACCTCAATAATACCGAGATAAATTGTGAGACACTTATTACTACGATATACAAATTCCGACATCTGAACATAGCACAGTCAACATTTCCAGATTAATCCGAACCGAACACATGTATCCCGGAGAACGTGAAAAGATTTTAGAGTTTATCATAATTACCCAATCGCTTTTTTGAAGCCTAGTGAGAAACTAAAACCATGTAACGCCACTTTTCATACCATTAGAACTAAACATGACGACCCTATCTTTGTAAAATCTTTCAGCTATCCGTTTCATTCAAAATAAGGAATTCAAAACCAAATTACAAAATTTCTTGACGATGAGGTCATTAGACCCAGTACTAGTCCATACTCATTTCCGGTATGCATAGTCCCAAAGAAGGTCGACGCGCATCGGGCCAAAAGAAATACAGAATAGTTATCGATTACCGAAAACTTAACTAAATCACGATCAAGGACAAATATCCATTATCGTGTACAGAAAAAATTCTTGGTAAAACCTAGGAAGGACAAAATATGTTTCCACCTTAGATCTTGCCCAAGGCTTTCAAATAACCATGCATCCAAATTTTACAGAAACCGGTGAAGATTTCTATAACCAATAACTACGTATGCCTTTTGGTTTGAGAAACGCCCCTGCAACTACTACGCATTATTAATTCTGTGTTACTTCCTTATATTGGTAGATTCTGTTTTGCACATCCCGATGATATTATTATTTTTTAGAAATCTTTACAAAAACACGTCTAACACTCAAAACTTATTTTCGAAGCTTTAATCAAACACCAACTTAAGATCCAATTAGCAAAACTGATTTTTTTAGAAAATATGTCCTCTTCTTAGGCCACATGATAACACCTAACGGCATAAGACCCAATCCTGATAAAATAAAAGCAATTCAAAATTTTCCCATTCCTAAAATCTTAAAACGATTAAGCAAATCCAATCATTTATATTACTTACAAATTATTATCTACCGTACATTTATCAGATGCTTGGCAAAAATCACTAAACCTTTTACAAAGTGTCTACGTGAAGGAGAAAGAATAGTTGTTGAAAATCACGAGTATGTTAATGCCTTTGTCATTCTGAAGAAAACAATTACCAAGGCCCCGTACTCTCATACACTGATTTTTCAAAACCCTTCACTCTAAACACAGATGCTAGTAACATATTTATTGGAAGTGTTCTTTCCCAAAATGGAGAACCTATTGATTTTCATTCACGAACTTTAAATTCTGCTGAGCGAAATTATACTACCAGCGAGAAAGAACTTCTCTCAATTATAGATTCGTGTAAACACTTCAGACCTTATCCTTTTGACCATAAATTCACAACAGAGACTGACCATAAACCATTAGTCTGGCTTGCCTCTCTCAAAGAATCTAACCAACGTCTTATACAATGAAAACTCAAATTAGAAGAATTTGATTGTGTCATCAAATACAAAAAAAGGCATGTTGCCGATGCCCTTAGTCGCATCAAAATCCACGCGATAGAAGACGATGCTCTTTCCACATTCCCCAATGTAAACGAGATCCCCGAAATTAGCAACGAAGAGTTAGATAAAATTTTGACTACATTAGGTCCCTCAGAAAATTTTTACGATATTACGAAGTCCCAAATGCCTTTACTTTCCGAAGACAACCGCTCTGAAGATACTCAACATACATCATCCGAGTCTAACCGTAATATTATTCAATCCTGAGAAAACAAAGGCTTTTCCTATATTTCAAAAATTGTATCATATTTCAATATACAGACAAATATAACATCTCTATCGCAGTCAATGACACTATTAACTTTTCGTTAACTCATTGTAAAAGTAAATTTAAACCTTCTAAAAAACTACTGCCAACCAAATACTGCTTATGGAATTTATTTATTACTTTGACGAGAACATCATGATAACCATTAACAGTCCTCAGTAAATATTTTAACCAAAACCAACTCAAATTCATAGCGGCATATAAGCCCGAATATTTATCGAACGAAAAAACTCTTTACCATTCTAAAATACATAATGGCATAAATGAAACATATGATGATTTCAGGAAAATCATTTACACTCCTAGTTAAGAAGAAATTTGTCTCAATAATAAATACAAAAGAAGACCACCTAATACATCCTTACAAGGATCATTTTTTATCACCAAACCTTTCCAACTAATTTTCGTAGATGTCTTTAAGGTAGAAAAGTCTATGTATCTTACTGTTCTAGATCACTTAAGCTGTTACGGCCAAGCGTATAACATTACTTCAAGAAATGGAATCGAAATACTAAAAAAATTAAGCATTACTTTTACCACCATGGATACCCCACCACGATTCATGCGATCCTGGAGAATTTCGTTCCCAACTCATTCAAGACTACCTAAATGTCGATAATGTTACTCTGCATCTAAGATCTAACCCAACGTCTATAGCACCTATCGAACATTTTCATAATGAGAATTCTGAGAACAGAAAGGAAATTAGACCCCATTAATGATTTAATTACTGACGCTATCTTAGTCTATAACCAATGTGGTCATAGTACCACAACCTATACACCATTTGTTTTACTTCACGGTCCTACGAAGAAAGAAGTAAACGAAGAACGTAAGGAAATTGCTAAATGCACCTTAGGGAAACAACAAAAAGATTCTTGATAAAAATAACAAAAATTAACCTTTTTTTATTCACATCAAACATCCCTGTAATCAATATCGAGGGAAAATTCTCGCAATATCACTTTGATACCATTAAATCTTGCACTGATCTTACTTTGCATGAATACATCAGAACCATTGTAATTAATTAAGCCAAACAATGATTTTAAGACACTAATCAAGATTTACATCTCAAAGATACCTGCACTAATGAAACAAGAACAATTTCAGAAAGTTCTCAGTTAATTATATATACGAGGCGTGTCCGTAAAATAAGTTCCACAAATTTTTTTCATATCAAAAAATTGGTTTAATTGCAAAGAAAATACATTTTTGGAAAGTTCAGTCTTTCTTCTATTTTTCTACATAATCGCCGTTGCGCTCTATGCATCTCTGCATTCGAGGCACCCACTTCTTCAAACCAGAGTCATAGAACTCTGCCGCCTGTCCGTGTAGAAAACTAACAACCGCGTTTTGCACCTCTTCATCTGTCTGGAATTAGGTTCCGCCAAGGTTTTTCTTCAACTCAGGGAAGAGATGGAAGTCACTTGGTGCTAAGTCTGGGCTGTAGGGTGGGTGAGACACCATTTTCCATCCAAATCTTTCGATGAGGACTCTGGTTCGATTGGCGGTGTGCGGTCGGGCATTGCCATGGTGAAAACGCACTCCTTTCGTCAGCATTCCTCTTCTCTTGTTCTGAATGGCACGTTTAAGTTTTTTCAAGGTCTCACAGTACCGGTCAGCATTGATTGCTGTCCCGCGAGGCATAAACTCGCACAACAATACGCCCTTTCGATCGCAAAAAAACGCTAGCCATGATTTTCCGGGCAGACAGGATTTGTTTGAACTTCTTTGCTCTTGGTGAAGAAGAGTGCTTCCACTGCTTCGATTGCTCCTTTGTTTCCGGTGTGGTGTAGTGTACCCAGGTCTCGTCACCAGTAAAAATAGAGTCCAGAAATTCCTCTTCGGTTGTTCCGTGAAAAGCGAGAAATTCTTGGGCCGCTTCAACCCGCTGCCGCCGGTGGTCTGCAGTGAGCATTCTTGGTACCCATCTTGCGCAGACCTTTGAATAGCCTAAATGTTCAGTCAAAATCTTGTCAATTGTGGTTTTGCTGACCTCCGGAATCTTTGTGCACAGCTCCCGAACTGTAATCCGTCGATCTTCAAGCATTGCCGCTTCGACTTTGGCAATTGTTTCGTCGGAAACCGATGGCCGCCCTGCACGGGCTTCATCGTGGACGTCTGTTCGGCCATTTTTAAAGTCCCTGACCCACCTGCGCACCATCCCGCAGCTCATACAGTCATCTCCATACACCTGACAAAGTTCTTCGTGAATTTCCTTCGCCGATTTCTTCTTAGCGACCAGGAAACGAATAACAGACCGCAACTCGCAGCTGGCGGGAGACGCAAGAGGAAGCTCCATCGCTGACGGCTGATGAGCCAAGACTAAACGCGACGCTGGCTTGGTGAGGGATTGGAGTGGGGGAACTAAACAATCTGCCTCTGTTGCCTGGCTGTGCATAGAAACGATCCTAGCGCCAGCGGCAGAACGTGGAATTTATTTTACGGACAAGCCTCGTATATCAAAAAACATACACGGACCATGCACAAAATAAACGATGGGTCGCTGTAGCGATGCCGCGCAGATGTGGAAAGGGGCAACGGTGTCACATGGACAGTAACTACCAGGACAGGAAAAGAATGTCAATGGACTAATTCTATGAGCCTATTTAACTGACTTAATCATTTTAATTTCTCTGTTGTACATGTTCGTAACTGACATTTTTCTCTGAGGATTTAAATTGCGCACTTGTGAACTGATAACGGCGTTGACGCCTTTTTTTCCAAATGGAATGATCTGACTAATTTTCTCACCTGGGGCAATTTTCACGTTTCTGTATAGTTAGTAGTATGTCTTGGGTATTGCTGCATCCATTCCGGAGATAGAAACTTTTCTCTACTTTGAAACCATAACTTCAACACATGTGTAATGATTTAAACTTATGAAGAACATTGCAGGACCGTCAAAATTCTACCTAAGCGAAATATGTGGGAAATGCTTTACTACCCATATAATTATATTGTAAATCTATTGATTGCTAATGGGATCGCCACTACCCAGATTTATCTTTAACATCATATGGGGCGATCTGAATCTGGCATAGTTTCAATAATTTGTTGGATTGCATTATTGAAATTTCGGGTACTTCATATGCCTGTTCTATAGTTATTTCAAATCATACTCTACTTGTCTATCACTTTTAAAATTTTTTGTCTCTTCAGATTCCATTTTAATCCTTATTTTCTACTTACTACATAAATTGAAGTCAAATAGAGAGGAGATACCCTCGAAGCCAAAGAATTTTGTAGACCTTTTACATTTTTTTTGACGAAGCAAATTTGTTATCCAACCTTATTGTTTATTTGGAAGGACATGAGCCTTACAGATTTCAAGGTGGACGGCATAGGGAACCTGTTCGCTGCTTCAGTTATAGAGAACAAAGATGCTTTTCCGTTTAGGTCAGATGATAGTGTGGAAAACAGAAACTTTCGTCTGGCTGATAGCAGTTCTAATAATGTCATTGAACATGTAACTCGAGAGAGTATGGTCTTATTGCCATAATAGATGTGTCTTATGCTCTTTCCACGTAGGAGAACTATTTTGCGTATTAATTTCACAATCCCATTAGGTAATGATTTCAGACTGCCATTCATTAGAATGTACCATAATTCTCATTTAGAACGATTACCGTAAACCGCACATTACCTCAGATAACTTTGATATCTGTCGAAATTATTTTTGTAATGGCCTTCTTCACCTAATATATTGATATGTTTGGCTGATGAGCTCCTTCAGAAATGGTGATAATTTGTTGAAAATAAAAACACATCTGACACGGTTCTAATGGAACAGATAATCTTATGCAATTGGCTCCATATCTGCTATGAAAAATGACTTACAGCATTATATAGGAAGTCCGGTAAAATCAGTGAAGTCTACTGTTTAATGGCTGACAATGAATACTCAAGTTGTATATTTATAAAACATGCTCTTTTATTACCCTTGGAGTACAACTTTTTCTTGTAAATTGACACCTAGCCATTCTATTTTCAAAAATAAATTTATTCTATTTTAGTGTGGTAGTTCAAAGGATATTAGGCAAAAACGTGATTTCAGGATTTGCACAGTACTTATGTCTAAGTTTCAAGTAAATGTTGCTTAGGTCTCATGTTGATTGTAAAAACATTATAATATATATTATTTGGAAAGATCAGTTATAGGCTCATTGTATGTATCCTGTAAAATATGCCATTGTATATGCCTTTTGCTATTGTAATTGTATACGTATTGTAGACAATGGGTTTGTACCAACAACGCTGCGTACCGTACATTGTACCGTCACGCACGTGCGCAGTCCGCTTGAAGTGTTCCAACACAAACCTATGACGGTTCATGGGACGCTTGATACACTGTTCCAACAGATCTCCGACAGTTCAACGAACGGTTTTTGGACCGTCAAAACAGTACCTGGTCCGTAGCGAGGACTGTGAGTCCACACATGCGCATTGAATAGAAATTAGAATGTTGAAATTTGAAGGTTATAAGGATAAGGAATGTTGTTTTGCCATGGAGAATCAAAATATCCCAGCTTATGGTAAGTTTGACGACTATGGGGTCGAGACGTATGGAGCTAACTGCCTTCTGTTTACAGAACTAAACGAGTTTCTTGTTATGCCAAATACAAGTGCTCTGCAGAGCGAGAGTACCACGGCACGAGCACCAGAATTTAGATGGAGTCATCAGGCAACCAAAATTCTCATTGAAGTTTATGGAACCTTTAAAAGGAAGCTAGGTTCCTTCGACGTCAAAAATTCAAAGATGATGTGGTGGAAAATATCACAGGCTTTACTAGACTATAATATTAAGGTAACGCCAAACAATTGCATGAATAGATGGAGGGTACTGGAGCGGAACTATAAAAAATATGTTGATAACCAAAGGCAAACAGGTAAGAGGACTCCTAAAGCTGAGAAGTAATTGAAATTGCCTTTTAATTATGAATCCAATGAGATACACCATAGTTAGATGTAAAAGCTAAGGCAACTTTGCATATGCTTGGCAGGATGTAATTTAATTTTTTCCTGTAATTTTAGGTAGGGGAAGAACATTTTTTGAGTATAAGCATGAAATGGAGGAGGTATTTCTCAAGAAAAAAAATATCCATCCTGAATTGCTGCTAGCAAGTGATCAAATAGATACTCAAATAGATATGAACAGTGATAATGCTATCACTACAGCTGCACCAGATGTCTCTTCACCATCTAAAAGCGTAAGCAGCCCAAAATCATTGCAAGCAGTGACACCACAGAAGAAAAGTCAGATAATTCGAAAAAGACAAGGTATTATGGAAAAAATAAGAAGTGACCGCAAAACGTATTATGAGGAAAAACTGCACATAGAAAACTTAAAATTAGAAGAAATGAAAAAAAGGAACCAACTGATTGAGGAACGAAACAACATCCTCAAAGAAAAGCAGTGTAACTGTCACCAAACAAGCTCCTAGCTTTACTGTATTTTGCCATTAAAGTTAAGTCATAGTTTATTAGTGTTGTTGTGTTCAGTATTGAAATATTAATTTTATATTATGTTATGTTCAAATTTGATTTGTGTTCTAGTTTTATATTATTGCAAATGAGTACATAAAGTTCAAACAAATGGGTATGCACTCTTTTTCCAGTACTCTTCAGGACCTTGTAGAGGAAGGTCTTAACCTTAATTAGATACTCAACAGTTTTGAAAATAATGGGTATGCAGACATTAACTCGTTCATAACTTGAATGCTTAACATAACGTCAGAAACAAGTTAGTAGTGACCTATGTGTCAAGTGATCCCAGTATTCTCAACAAAATGGACACAGCCCAAAACTCTGTAAATTATTTAAAGTTGAGCATTTCCGAGTTATAAGCAATTTATGTCTGAACATCTCTACAAATAAGCATTTTCTGTGTTGAAACTTATGGTTTGCATTGACAGGTGTCTAAATCAAAGTTAAAACCTTCCCCTACCACATACTGAAAAGTGTTATGGAATTAGTTTATTTTAAAGTTACTTATAAGCTTATTTGGTAGGCTGAAATAGGTGCAAGTGTCATTTGAACAGGGTGTACTCTGCTTGTTTTTGATTAGTTTTCAGTTGTGCAATTCCTTTTGGATAGACTGATTTATGTTTTGTTGCAGTATCTCTAATTAGCTTTCAAGTGTGTCATTTATGTTGTGATGGTACAAAGAATTCATAATTAATTTGTCTACCTCATCACTGGCTGGTGAATCAAACACATGAGTGGACTTATTTATGGACATTTCAGCTGCCCTGGCAGCCTTTATCATAGTGCAAAATAAGAAAAAAAAGACACGAAATGTTGAAAGTTACAGTAACATTATGAAGGGTTTTCTATTAAATAGCTCTGATTCTAAATTCATATCAATATAGATCGTCAGTGTAACTCTTAACTGTCTATTCTTATTGTGTACTTTTAAAATGCTGCTGTCACATAAAGTAGTAAATAAGTTCATTTAATTTATGTGGTTTAACTGACTGCCCATGGATGAATAAAACTAATCTAGCATAGAACCATGTGATAAGTTTCAAGTGATTTTAATTGTTGATTAATACTTTATGCAACATGAAGACTGATTTTTTAAATGTTAAATATATGGAAATATATTTTTTTGATTTTCATACTTCTCTTTTATTTAAATTGTTGGTGCTCCTTTATTATTCTGTTATTAACGCTACAAGGAAAAAGCAATTAATTCGCATTACTATTTCATTGACATCTATCTTGACAATTTATTTTCAGTTATTAGTTAACAAGGAGATCACATATTGTATTGTCATGACCATCCATATACTGGATACCTTCTGCTACAGCTCTTGATTCATACACATAGTCATATAATGCAACACATTTATTAGATCCTAAACACTACAAATACATTTGTGATTTGGGGAAAGACTGCAATAAAAGACAATCTATCAACATAAAACAAGAGAAATGTACATGTATAGATTTTACAAAGCAGTAATAAATACTTTCACCTCATTATGCACATGAGTTTCTTTAAAATTAACACAAACTATTTAAATGATATTATACAAGGTGTTACAAAATGTAGTGACAGACATTTAAGGTCAGATAAAATATTGTAAAATGTAAAGAAAAGTTCACATGACAATGGACCTAGTCATGCTCTATTCATATGTGTGCATGTGTTAAATGTTTTCCACCTTTAATTTTCTATTTTACATTTATCAAAAACCTGTGATTGAATAGATTCGATGCTCAAGTTTTTAATATTCATACAAATACCCCCACAGTTTTTTGATGAATGTAAAATAAACTGTGAAAGATGGAAAGCTACCATTTATCATAAAAATGGAGCATTTGTGGACCCATATTTTTATGAAATTATTAGCTGTCCCACTTCATAATATAGCTGCAATGTGGTCCCTAATAGCAACAGCACTACCATCATCTTCTATATCCTCATTATCATCACCAATGGCTACTGCAGCATTCTCAGCCTCGATTGTCTCTATTAAATTAGCATCAGGAAGTTCATCCTTGATAGAAATATTATGGAGAACACAGACTGCTCTTACAAAATGGACTATCAATGGTATCTTCCGTAACTTGATGTGATAGAGTTGACGGAATTTTTGCTTCAGCATACCAAAAGAATGTTCAATAATGCATCTATTTTTAGATAACTTTATATTGTAATTTATCTGTTGTTGAGTTAGAGTCCCTCGATCTTTGTAGGGTGTTAGCAGATTTTTTTGAAGAGGGTATCCACTGTCTCCCAGTATAAAATAGGTCCCACATTTTTGTTCTAATGTCTGACTTAGAGGAGAAGTCCGAAAAACTCGACTGTCATGAACTGATCCTGGATACCCTACAAATAAATCTTTAAACCTTCTCTGATGATCACACACAGCCTGGATCTAAAATGAAGAAAAATAAACATGAAATAACTTTCTATTATATAAATCTCACTAAAAAACTTAGACATCAAGTTTCTGAAAATGCATGACATACAGTAGCAGTGCAGAAGACAAGAGATGTTGAATAAATCTGATATTTTGCATCTTTATATTGCAGTGAAGCATTTTAATGTATATGTATTGTTCAAAAGAATTTCAATAGCTGTATACAAATAAATGTAGCCCATATAATTGCAAATATATCATTTCTTTTGACATTATATGTATTATACATGATCAATTACTACACTTACTTGAATAGAGTAAAAGCCTTTTCTGTTTATGTATGATTCAGGGTCATTTTCTGGTTTATCAAGTTTTATGTGCGATCCATCTATACAACCGATGACTCTTGGAAACCCATTATTCGACGACACACAAAATCGAGGTTAACTTCTATGGTGACAGGAGCCACGGAACCACAGTACACGAGACAGTAGGGATGAGGATGAAGGCTGATTGATGAACAACTGTACCAAGAGATTTAATTCGTACGATCACGGTATCGTCCTCAGTTGACGCATGCGCACGCTGTCGGAGACCAACAGTTTCGTGGTGGTTCAAGTGACGGTGCAAATAGACGATGTTGGTACAAACCTAATGTAAACAATAGTTCAATTAGGTAGCTTGCGTATGCAAGCCTATAAAACATTTTTGAATAATTAGGAAAGGTATAGATATTTATTATCTATACATAAAAAGGTATTGTTTTAAATTAATTACATATCTGAAATAATTATACAGGGTGTTCCAAATTCGACCCTCACCAACTGTATGAGATACGAAGACACCTAAATGGGGACAAAGTTGCGCATTTAGGTAATCAACAAAGTGCCCCCTAAAAAGTTTCGAAATTTAAGGTACTCCCGGAGAGAGACGGAGACAACCGAATTTTCCCAAAATAGTTTCAATTCTTTCCAGGCATTACTTGTAGTTGGATTTCGAAATAACTTATACATTAACGTTGCCACTTTTTTTCTTATGGACGCCATATTGGAGTTTTGTACAGATGAATAGAGTTTTTGAGTCTGATTCCACAAATGCATCGTTAATTAAAAAAATGCAGAATTTCCTAGGTGGACCTTGAAATTATTAGATTGTGATTTGTTGGTATATCAGATTTATCCCGAAATCACTTTTATTTTTTCCTGACTTGATTTGAGGTGAGACTTGAGAATAAGTTACTTATTTGGTGTAGTCAAATTTTCAAATCGACATTTTTTCGACTTCCATGACCAACTTTATTTTTTCATATGGACGCTATATTAGAATTTTGTACATTTAAATGGACTTTGAATTCAGTGATGTATTTCCTCAGTTGGCCATGGATTTCTTGTTGGACGAAAATTATTAGGAAATAAAAAGGTATGGTGGACACAACATGAAAATTTTATTGATGGTAAGAACAATAGTAATCCTGAATCAGCAGGGGTAAATCATAGCAAATGTTTAAAATTTCCGGCATTTTATAGGCAAAGCCTGACTCTTCTTTGTACATTGTTCCCTGCTCGATTTATTTCTCTCCTTCTCAGTCTTCCAAACTCGCTTGCTATGTTTAACTTCAACGTATAACGTATGGTATATATATATATATATATATATATAATATATATATATATATACTATATGTGTATATACCTACAATCAATTGTTAATTGGGAAATTGGCAAATTTTTAGGCTTAAGTTGACTCTTTTGACGATAAAATCAAGCCTTCGGCATTCTCTATGAAGCCTTCATTAGGATTCTGAAAACACAATTGTAATGCTAGCAAAGAAAACAGGACAGATTTAAATTGTCAAACAACTTACTCGTCGTTGAGGTTGCAGCCACAAGGTGTTTCAAAACGAACGTAGAGAAGATAGAACTTGTAATAAGTATAAAAACAAAAGGACGGAGACATTGGGCTTGTTGATAACGACAGATACCTTCGTTACTACTACTATTATAAAGGCGCTGCACCGCTGAACTACTTTATCTTAGCTGAATGTACTCAAATACTTATTCTCCACTAATCCTGAAATTTCGTACTCATTGTTTTTTCTCTTCCTTCATTCTCTACCTACTACTTCACTTCGACTACATACCAAGCGCAAGCTGATCAGAAAATTACAAAACTTGCAGAAATGTGTTAACGTCATTTGAGGTTATGGATCTATCTAAAAGGATTTTTCACGAAGCCCAAATATAATTAGCAAGATGTAAAACACGCAAATGGGTTTGGTTTGGAATTTATTTTGTTGATAACTCGGCCGTCACTGCTCTGGATTTCGAAAACGAAGTACTTATGCATATGTTTTCACGGTATCTCACTCACAGAATGACAGCCTAAACGAGATGAGTGGCATGGATCTGGAATGTGAGATTTTCGCGGATATAATACTTTTTCCGGTTATGCGAAGTTTTGACTATTCTTCCTTTCATACCTATCTCAGTAATATAAGCAGTCGTAATCCATTTCCCAAGTTTTAATATAACATGCACCATATACCCGTATTTATATGTTGCATGTATAGAAGAGGGATATTCAGTAGATCCAGAGCATATCGAACATACGAGTATACCCGCTCTCTTTCATAACGGCCATGTCCGCATAAAAATTTAAATACCTGCCATAGGGAATATTGCTAGGATTAATCTTAATTCATATAAATATTTCCATCCCATTTCCTTCGATGTTTGCAACTTTGGAGCCACGATGTCTTCCGTATCCACCTTCTGGTATTTTTCTTCGAAAGTATGGGTGGAACATTTTTTTATATTTCTGTGGCACAAAAATAGACTTCTGCCATTCCGTCAATACTTAGGTTAAATTTTTGCACCATCTAGTTTGATTAATAACACCACACTCTTAATAAAAATTACTATTCTGATTACGTTTATGGTTCCCAGAGATGATGAAATACCGTCGTACGCAATTATATATATCGTACCATATCAGAAGGCAATCTTGAAGAGAAGTACTAATAGTCTGTGGGTATCCCTTTTTCAAGAATTGTATTATCAAATGTTTGAGTTATTTGTCGTCCTTTAGAAATCACAATTCAAAATTCAAATTATAATACCAAATGATTCGTGGAAATGGGAATATTTTAGAGGAAGTGTGCAAACATTCATTAGCATTACCTCTTGCCTAAGAATTCACAAATAACATAATAAGTACTTATTTATTCTGAATCGTACTGTAAATAACTCAAAAAATTAGTAATATGATCTCTCAAAAATTGAATACGAAAACAAGGCTCAAAAATGATAGCCCAAAACCGTCATTTTGATAAAGACGTGTGATTTATTTATTTATTTAGCAACATCCAACAGCCATAGCCAATTACAGGATGGATAAACATGAAAATATAAACAAATGCATGTAGTGGATGTATGTAGAGAAAGCTAAAACGCTGCAAAAAAAACCTCAAAACAGAACTGCGAGGAAAAAGAGCATTGTAGCTTTACCTACCCAGCACTCAACAATCACACCGGCAAGCATTAACGAAAATAAGCATTAATGTCTCCCAAAGTCGCACAAAACGAAAATATATCTAAAACACTATTAACTGAATTATTATTACGGCACATTATATAGATAGGGGAAAACTTAAATATGTCAGTCCTAGGCCTGGCTAAGTAAAAAGTTAAACTAGTTCGAGATGCTAATCTAGGAACTAAGAAGTTAAGTTGTTCTAAGATGACACTGGAGTCAATAATGCCGTGGATGAGCTTGTGAGTGAACTTAAGTGAATTCTTTTTGCGTCTGCTCTCTAAATTATAGATTTTGTGTCTCATTAACAACTCACTATGAGGAAAGCCAATAGCAGGATATATCCCGTCAGCTTTGTATGAGAGGTATTTTAAAAACTTTCTTTGAACGGACTCTAAGCGGTCAATATATATTTGATGATGAGAATACCATACAAGGGACGCATACTCAAGCTTAGATCTTACATAAGCATAGTACAGTATTTTCAGTGTAAAGGAGTTGTGGAAATCACCAGCATTTCTTACAATAAAACCATACGCCTTTGATGCAGCCACAACAGCATTTTCGATGTGATAGGAGAAGGAAAGTTTTCTGTCAAATTTGACTCTCAAGTCATTAGGTTATTAGGTCTTTCAAGTCTTCTGTCACCAATACTATATTCATACATCATTACCTCTGTTTTTAAAGTAAACCACAAAACGTGACACTTAGCAGCATTCAAAACCAGTCTGTTTTCATGACACCAGTTGTCAACCCTTACAATTTTGCATTGCAAGCGATGACAGTCGTCAATGTTAGAGACTCTACAGAAAAGTTTCACATCGTCAGCATATATAAGAAAATAGACATCGATAACTTCAGAAATATCATTTAAGAACATAATAAATAACAGAGGTCCCAAATTAGATCCTTGAGGAACACCGGACATTACAGGGTATTCGGCTGACTTATGTCCATTGCACATAACATACTTTTTCCTATGAAATAAATAAGATCTGAAAAATAGCAACAATGCATCTGAAAGACTAAATCTAGATAACTTATTGAGTAGGATGTAATGATCTAAACTATCAAACGCTTTAGAGAAATCAGTATATATTACAACCGTTTGAAGTTGTCTATCGATTGATTCACAAACATATTGAGTAAGATGTAGCAGATTAGTAACTGTGGACCTGCCCTTCATGAAACCGTGTTGACTGATGGAGATAGACCTGCTTACATGGAAATATAGCACAGTTTGCATCACTATTTTGAATGTTTTAACGAAATTACTGATAAGTACCGATAGTTTTCTACTTTATTCCTCTCACCTTTTTTAAAAACAGGAGTTACCCTAGACAAATAGATGGAAAGTGATTATTCAGGATATGCTAAAATGAACGCACAATCTCTCACAAAAATGCAGGTATTTGATCACGCCCTGCAGTCATTTTTTGCTTAATTTTCTTGAGCGCCTGTAGCACATCGAAACTCTCGGAAGC